CCTGACACATGACCTTCAATTCATGTCAATAGGTTTGTCAATGCAAACTTGTCAGCCATGTAAAAGTTTTAACACTATAAAAATCCTGCCTAAGGTACCATAAGGTGTGCCTGCTATAACTCTTATTAGCCTAAAGAACTTATTCTACATTATTAGGTATCCACGCAAGTCTGCAGCAGTTCATCTTGATTGACTTTAGAGCTAGGCTCTACCAAAACTCCATCCCACTGTTTAGTGAGCCCAGCATGACTGGTAATCTTTAAAAAAAAATCTGAGACTTTTTCTCTCACATAGACAAACGTATTACTCGGTGTGAGACAAATTGGTTGTGGTATAGTGAACAGCACAGAGGCTTCTAGCACCTCTTTGCAGCACTGGGGGTCCCTGGTTCGAATCCCAATCAGAACACTATCTGAAAGGAGTGTGCATGTTCTCGCTGTGCTCAGTGGTGTATTTTGGTTTTGTGCTGCCCTAGGCAAGACTAAACTCGGGCATCCCCCCTCAATCTAAATTTGCCCCACCCCATCCTGTTTAGAACATTTTGCGCAACCTGTCAGTCACTGGATACAGTGCACATGGGCTCTCAATAGAGCTGTACATGGTCTCTGGCGGGCTGTACGGGGGCTCAGGAGAGTTGTGCAGGGTTTATGGTGGGCTGTGTGGGGTCTATGGTGAGCTGTGCAGGGTCTCAGGAGGACTGTGCAGAGTCCCTTTCCCTGATACATGTGTTGCTCTTCTTACCTGCAGCCCAAAGTGTCATCAGTACCAACAGAATACATTGCAGTCAGCAGCCTGCTTCTAGGAAATCTCACCATAGATCACATGCTATGGCCAGCCCCGAGCCACTTGCTGCTTCTCCTCCACCTCCTGTACAAAGCCAGCCAGAACGCATCTCACTGGGCCCTCTCCTCCACCGGGCAGCTCTCTAATTTGCCTTATTGGGCCGCCTAGTTTGCCTTATTGGGCAGCCGCTGTTGCCTGATTCTGTGCTGCTTAGCCTCGGCCACCGGGCAAGTGCCCAGTATGGCCAAAGGTAAGTCCGGCTCTTTGCAGAAAATGCCGCCCCCCTGGAATGTGCCGCCCTAGGCAAATGCCTAGTTTGCCTTGGGGTAGCTACACCCCTGGCTGTGCTTGTGTGGGTTTACTCCGGGTACTCCGGTTTCCTTTCACACTCCCAGGACATGCTGGAAGGTTAATTGGCTCCGGTCCATATTGGCCCTTGTGTGTATGTATATGAGATAGGGACCTTAGATTGTAAGCCCCTTGACGGCAGGGACTGGTGTGAATGTACATTATGCTTTCAACTTCTCACAGTTGCCAACTGTTGCTATAAGACATCTGCCGGGAACTTATTGTATCCAGTGAGTTGGCTGACTTGTAGGCATACATTGTGTAAGGTAAAAACTAGAGCACTGAGAAGCAGGAAGCCTGTGTATGTAACAAACAAATATGACTGCATCCAATGTACCTATATAATGATAATTTATACATATTGATAGGAATACTTACATCAAGCTGATTTATTTTATATTTTTAAAAACCTTACATTTCCTTATGTGGTATATAAAGTAAAACAGTAAAGTAAGGTATACAGTACAGTATGTAAACCCTAACAATGAACTTCTCTAATGTAGTGCTTTTTGGTCTGTTAAGTATTCCATTATACAGGTGAAACTCGAATAATTAGAATATCGTGCAAAAGTAATTGCAGTAAGTGCTGCAAAAGGGGCCCAAACCAAGTACTGAGTACATATGCATGCTTGTACTTTTCAGAGGTCCGATATTGTTCTATGTACAATCCTTGTTTTATTGATTGCATGTAATAATATACTTTTTTGAGGTTGTGGATTTGGGGTTCTTGGGGTTTTCATGAGCTGTAAGCCATAATCATCACAATTATGACAAAGCACGGCTTGAACTATCTTGCTTTGCATGTAATGAGTCTCTCTCATATATTAGTTTCACCTTTTAAGTTGCATTAGTGAAATAAATGAACTTTGCACGATATTCTAATTATTCGAGTTTCACCTGTATATGTTTGATAAGTGCAAATCATGTCAGAACTTCACTGCTGTCCTGTGATTCTGTAGCTAGGACATAACCATAGCAAACCGTGCAACTGCTATGGGGCCCAACACTGTCTGCAACATAATCATTTTTACAGGTTGTGATGGCCTTTGGCCATTGGATAAATTGAGTGTACCTACAAGTTTGGGAAGCTCTATAGGGTTGTTATGAAGACAAAAATGATTTTGTATTGAATAAAGGGTTGCCTTGAGGATGGAGGGTAGAGAGCAAAGGGACCCTTATTAATTTTGCTTTGGGGCCCTCGTATCAATAGTTACACCACTGCTCTGTAGTGTTCTTTTAAGCAGTCTTTCCACCCTGCCCAGGTCACCTGTGAAATACAGAAACAACCCCCCCCCCCCCTGTTGGGGAAATGAGAAAGGAGGAGCTTTTGTAGTTCTAACATCTTATTTTCGTGAGTGACAACACTTCTCCTGTTTAGATATATTAGAGTGAGTGGTTGTTGTCACCTAGGAGATTTGTTACTGACAGGATCAACAAGTGAAAATAAAAGGAGAAAAGAAACAAATGCGGCCCCCACATCTGAGGACTGGTAAGCTGCAATATATGACATTTTTGAGTTTAGATACATGTTAAGGTACCAATAAATATTACATAATGGTAATTTGTCCTTTTATAGGCTGTAAATGAAGTATAAAATAGCTCCCAGCATGCCGGACGGGTCAGTAAACCAGCAGATGTGGATAGTTTATGGTGACAGCAGCCGGGCATTGCTTTTATTTATAATCTGTGCCTGGACTAACACTGGCATGCGTCTACACACCTTCTGTTTGCTGATTCTGCAGTTCTCCTCTAAGGTAGGACATAAAGTGGCTCATTCCCATAAACCAAGGACGAGAGTCCCTCCGATTGACAAACAATAAGACTGACCAATAAAAGGTGCACAGTGTGACAGATGCAGTGCGGAGTCTTTGCTGCAAATCCTCATCATTTGCTCTGCAGTCTTCCCCACACCAGGGCACCCGGCTCACCAGTGTAGCTTCTGCTAACCTCATAGATAACAGTTTATATTTATACTTTTATTTTGTCTAGAAGCAAAGATGACCCAAGTATGACAAATTCTGGTGAGTCATGTAAAGTGGTGTTCCAAAACTTTTGTCTTGCATTCTACATGTTCCCGGATCATCATTAATCTGCTGCAGTCTTTAATGTTGGTCTGCAAAATGTTACCGTAATCTGCAGTCCATTCTTTATTCCAATTGTGATCCCTTAATAGTTTTCTTTTATTTCTCTGGCAAAGGCTCTACAAACACTTAATCCAGCCACATAAAACCATCCCACTGCCCACCACCTTTTAGCAGTGCCTCGCATCCATTAAACATACAAAATGATACTCGGGTTCTCTGTTTAACCCCGTCATGTCCAGTGGCTTCTGCCTTCATGACCAAAGCATTTGCAGTCAGAAAGCGTTATAGGAAACCTGTACTGAGAAGATGTAGAGGTTGCCACCGCTGACATATCCTGGAAATGCTGGATGTCTGCTTGTCATGCTGATTAAATGACCTGAAACCAGCGTGGAAATGAGAAGTTCTTTACTTGCTGCATGCTTGCTCCAGGTCAGGAAAGTACCAAAATCAGCGACAGGTAAGTAACTAGAATTTCAGAAAGTGACCATTAATTAGCGCTTCCATCTTTTCCTTAGTACAGATTTAAGAGTTCATTTACAATTTGCACTGTGTTATCAACAAGCATTTATCAAGGCAGCACATTTATCTGAATTGGCTGCCAACATCCCACAACACAGCCAAAAACAGACATGCATGTACACAAAGCAGCACACAATAACCCATATGCCATGCTTTGTGGTACGCTGCAGTGCCGGAGCATTAGAGTGCCAATTAAAAAGAGTGGCACATTAAACACACTGTAGAATGTGCGTTTTACCGCAGCACACAGGTGTGATTGGGCCCTTAAGTGTTTTCAATTTTTTTATTCGGGATGTCCCATTACTATTACTGGCATCAGGGCTGATGCCGGGCATTTTCCCGAGTTGTTGCCTGATTCGTAAGACTGATACTGGCCCTCCGAATTTGTAAACCGCAGGCTGCTGAGTTCCCCCGGTTGTGGGGTTCTTGGCAGCATGCTGGGGACCTGGGGTTCTATATCTCCCCCTCCTACTTCCCAGCACAGCCACGAACAGCCCCACACTGCACGGACAGCCCTGGAGAGTTCAGCACGCAGCCTGGCGAGAACTGTATATGCCTCCAGAGACCGGTGTGTTCAGCTCCAGTGAGATCTGTATTTAACTGCCCTAAAATCATTAGTCTGTATTGTTTTAGAAAACATGTCACATGTTCCTTTAAGAAAAAGTATCAGTAATTGGTCTCGGCAAGTACCTGTACTTGAAAGAGTGGTATTTGGACATCCCTATTTTTAATGTTACTTAACAATCCTTTCACAGGGTTGTTGGCCTCTACTTCATTAGTATGTTATGACAAAGCTTAAGGAGACATCCATTTAGGGAAAAGTGACAGGTTCTCTTGAATGAAGAACATGCACCTGCTGACACCTACCTTCCCCGCAATCCTCCACTGGAACCAGAAGGCAAAACACTGTGTTAGATGTTGTCTGAGTTTACAGAGAGATATGGGTGTACCTATGGTGACAGTGTTTGGACCTGAGCACTGCATTCTGGGAGCAGGTCAATAATGCTCCATACTGGAAGGATCGGTATCTACCAAAGGCTATAAATCTGTTTATATTGCAGAATTGTTTTTCAGTATAAAAAAAAAAAAAAAAAAAAAAAAAAACACAGCAAATAACATCATAAAGGTTTATGGCGAGTTCTAATGAGTAGTGAATGGCTGACCTATCTCTCGTTCAAGTTGCTGAGGCCATTTACGTTTTTCTTTTTAAATATTCCCCCAATAACCAGCCACATACTCCGTATAGAAAGCAAACAGGTATTTTTTTATTACAAAACTATAGACATAAATTAGAACGTTGATCACTTGCAGGTCATTGAGTCTTACACTCCACGTCACCCTCTGAGTTGGCCTTCAATGACTTGAGCTCCTTCTGTAGCTCTTCTTCCACTGACAGGATTTCCTTTGGTTTCTGATACTGTAAAGAAAAGATGAGACAGACGTTACTAAACGCACAACATGCTCCGGCGTCGGGTCTCTCATCCCCAAAGCCGTCATACATTCTGACGTTACCAGGAAGTCTGCCATGTTTCCAAGCGGTGTATTATAGACAGGGCCTTGGTGGGTACAGCTCAGCTTATGAAAGTCTTTTACATACAGAAGTCTGAATGACAGCTAGACCCTTTATTTGGCATCTGCAATGTGCTCTTTAAGCCAGTAGAGGCATTCTCAGCACTCCAGCTGTTGTGGAACTACAATTCCCATGAGACACTACAAGACTGACAGCCACAGACTCCCAGAGGGAGACACATGATGGGATTTGCAGTTGCAGCACAGCTGGAGTGTTGAGGTTGCCTACTTCTGCTTTAAGCTGTCTCTTGACCTGGTTTCTGTCAACTGGCTCATTTAACCATACGCTGCCGTAGCCAATCATTAAAAGAGATCTATGAGGGGAGTGATTTCCAAAGAAGCTGTCACAGGTTGGCTCTAGCGATTGGGAAGTGAGCAGAAACATGCCGCCGATCCGCTCACTTCCCGATCATCTCCCTGCTGTGAGCGGTGACTGTCAATCACTGCTCCCCGCAGGCATTCCCCCCTCCCGATCCTCCAGCGCTGAGTGGAGGAACGGACGGTGAAGGGGGCGGGCACAGCTGGCTCTGCCTCTAGATAGGCAGAGCAAGCTGTCATTCACGCAGCTGGGTGGATCGACAGTATTGATCCGTCCCGGCTGCAGCACTCTCAGTATATCGCGGTCAATCATACTGAGCTTTGAGTCACGGAGGGAGGTTAGTATATAAGTGCACTAGGGCTGCAACAACTAATCGACATAAATCGATTATAATCGATTATTGAAAAAGTTGTCAACTGTTTCAATCATTGATTAATCGGCTTCCGATTTGTTGGCCCTGGTCACGGCTCCACACACGCTGCACGCCACACCTCGCGGCTGCCAGACCCGCCCACATCCACGGTCCACACGCCGCACCTCCTCCCCACCTCACACACAATGTATTGCTGGGATTTGTTGTACTCCTCTATAGCTGGTGGTATTCTGCATTGCGCTGTATAGAGGACTACAAATCAAGGAATAATACATTATACAGCGCAATGCGGAATACCACCAGCTATAGGAGGAGTACAACAAATCCCAGCAATAGTAAATTATACAGTGGTGCAATGCCGAATACCACTAGCTATAGAGGACTACAAATCCCAGCAATAGTACATAATATAGCGCAATGCCGAATACCACCAGCTATAATGATGTACTATTGTTGTGATTTGTTGTATTCCTCTATAGCTGGTGGTATTGTAAATTGTGCTGTATAATGTACTATTGCTGGGTGTTGTAGTCCTCTATAGCCGGTGCCCTTCTAATTCATTGCTTGAGACCCCTCATGTCTCCATAAAGAGGACCTGTCACATATTTTGCTATCACATAGGGGGTTTTTATTAGCCTCGTATGTGATAGCAATAAAGTTTAGTAAAAAAAAAATTTAAGTTCCCCCCAAAAAAAACTGTAAAGTAACACATGAAAAAGAATTAAAAAAAATAAAAAATGTTTTTAAGTCCCCACCCCATACGTGCAAAAACGACGATTGCACCCATTACGCCGCACGTTACATATCGCTGCGAACGTTGCAGTGAGAGCAATAAGTCTAGGGCCATCAATCACTGATAACACTAAACTGATGAGCGGTAAAAGCTTTTAAAGTGTCGCCTATGGCCAATTTTGGGTATGGTAGTTTTCTGCGATTTCGCGGGTGCGCGCAATTTTAAAGGTTGACATGTTTGGTGTCTATTTATCCGACGTGACCCTGACTTTTATATTTTACCAAAAAAGTGGGTAATAATAAATGTTTCCTAACATAATGTTAAAAAAAACTTTTTCAAAATTTTCTTTCATTTTTCCTAATTACAGTAAAAAATAAAACCCGCAGTTCAGTTTGAAAGGCACCCCAACAGATCCCCGACGCACATGGTTTTAGCGCAGACAGTCTGATAACATATACCGTTGTCGCTGCTCCAAATCTGCATCTGATATTTGGTTCCCATAATCCGCACTCACCGTTATGATTAAAGTGTTGTTTCCATGGGCAAAACTTAGAGCACTCTCATTCAGTTCTAAGTGACATCGGTCCAGGTCTGGAATGCAGAACTTTTTATAATACCTGCAACAGGAATACAGAAGTTGGTGAGATTCCGGGAGAATACTGAGAGAGGTGAAAAGGCGGCCTAGTAATTAGCAGCAGATCCATGTAACACCCACAGCTTTATTACAAGACTAAACAGCAATCTGTAGAGCTGCCTGGCTGCTCCCTCACATTCGTGGTATCAGACGTGGAGGCAGATATTTTAGACAGCGGAGAAGTCTGTGATTTCTCAAACAGAGAGGAAGGGGGGAGAGTGTTCGTGTGGCAGGAATTTGTACTCACTGATACAGCTTTACACAGAGAACAGCAGCATGAGGAGGGCAATGTAGACTTAGGACTGATCAGCAAAGTCTAGTACTGGGACTTGTAGTTCTTCAATGACCTGCAGCTTGCTGTACCCTTGATGAACTATACACTGCTGCTTACAATTATATTCAATAGAATTTCTGAATCCTCATCTGTTAAAGAATAACAAACATATAATGCCCAAGGAAAGGCTTTTACTGCATCATTCCTCTTTTCAGGACAGAATTGGATATAGGATAACGGCCTCGTTTCATCCTTTATTAGAGGAAAGGGAGAGTGAAGTGGAGCACACAATACTCTGCACTCACTGGGAGAGCTGAATGCACCATGAATGCAGATATTATATACATGCTATAGAAATCCCATCTGATAATAATACAAATGTAGAATACACCTGCTGACATTCTGAACTAGCCATTAAGGTTGACTAACAAGTGTTCAGCCTGAACAGACACCATAGATACCTAAGCAGGTGTTGGACTGACATCCAAGGCGGGATTCCTATATTCACATTGTGCAAAAGGCACATTTACTGGCAAAAGTAGGAAATTCTTAACGTATAAGTAAACGCCAGCATCCAAAAATGATGTTAGTGTAGCAAATGCCGAGCACTGCACCGGTATCCAAGCAACACTGCCAAAAAAGTTGTAAAAACACCCATTTTGGTCAGTTTTACTACTGGTCACATGACCCCTCTAGCTCTGAATCCAGGGCAGCAGTGGCTGGGGGTGCGCACACTAGGGTGCCTCCAGCCACTTCCTCCTTCAGTCTAGACAAAGCCAAGTGGTGTCAGCACTTCCTATAGACTGACAATGGCTGGGCAGTGGCATACCTACGCTGCAAGAGGGAGGCAATGCTTCTGGAATTTCAGTAGTAATCTAGCAGTGTTGTCACCCTCTTCCAATAATAGGGCTTAAAACGGGAAGGAGCACCAGGCAGACTCAAGCCAAAATATGGGGACAACATACAAATTGGCTGCAGGATAAGGAATTATTTTATTCATTTTCATATCTATCTAACACACCTACCTAACACACCTACCTATCTATCGATCTAATAAAATTAGTGAAACAGAAAAATTGAAGACCAGATACACACCAAAACACATGCCTTTGTTAGCCAGAAAGCCTTCGTCTGTCTATCTCCTAAAGCAACTCTTCAGCTAAAACATTTTTATTTTTGGGGAGGGGGGTGTACAGTAGGGCTAGAAAGGGTATAAAAACTTATATTTGGCTACTATTGCTGCTGCTGCCTCCATTGGGGACATTTTCCTTCACCTCCTGTTCCATAGACAGCAGGAAATGAGTAAAGTTCCAATATTGGCCACTGTCACTGAAACAGGTGTCACAAATAGACCGCGACGTATAAACAGCCAAGCAGAATAGAACCTTCCAACATGAATGGGAAAAAAGAAAAGTAAATTAAAAAAAGAAATACACTAATTATATATATATATATATAACACACACACACACACACACACACACACACACACACACACACACCTTTACTCTTAGAATCCTGGTAAATTTCCCATCATGCACCACAAGCTGCTGTTCAGCCCCATGAATTCGGTGGGACAGGTTTGCACCACATTTTATTTACAGAGAAATCTAGTTGACATTTCTCATAGAATGTCGGCATGTGACGGCACACAACTTCCAGTATTAAATGGCAGATATTTCAAAACAACAACATTCTAAACCTACATTACAATTCTAAGACACAGTGTAGAATGTCAATGAGCCAATGCAGTCTCCTACTTGATACAAATGTAGGTACGCGGTTACCAAATCTAGTTCTAGTGACTGAAGAATGAAAGACAGGAGGCTGGGTGCAGAATGTGCTCTGACGGAGATTAAAGTCTTCTGTGATGTAGCTGCTTTTGGTATTTGGCAAAGGTGGCAGACGTGGATAATAAGGGAGATGTCAAAGGTTAAACAGCAGAGATTAGATGAACACAAAGACATGTTAAAGAAGTGTTAACTCCTCAATGATAGATAAAAAAAGAATATACAAAGCAGGGAACTCTGCCTGGGACAGGGAGGAACTGAGCAAGTAATCCAACGAATGAGTGTTTCTTACCAAATCGTATATCCCATACATTGTTCACGCTGATAACTGGCAGCACAGCAGAGGTGCCGAGACATGCACATATCCTCATCTTGAACCATCCTGTATTAGACCGGGTTTATGTTCCTTTGAAAACCTGTTCTAGCAGGCGTGTAAAAGACAAAAGCGGATAATGGCTGAGCCTTGAGATGGAAGGATGTGGCTGGCAGTTTACATAGCCAAGTGTAAAGTCTAATGAGCCAATGTGGCAGGATGGAGAGAGCTTATACATATCACAATGTCAGGTGCTCCAGATGATTGGAATAGATGTTTCTTGGATATTGGGATTGGTATAGTGTTGTATTAAAACATTAGTATATATTGTAAGGGAGGTATTAACCTCTACAGGCTAACACACCCTCTCTCTATTAGACGGCTAGACCCTATAGCTTTATTAGACGGCTAGATCATCCCCTATATCTCTATTAGACAGCTAGATCATCCCCTATAGCTCTATTAGACAGCTAGATCGTCCCCTATAGCTCTATTAGACAGCTAGATCGTCCCCTATAGCTCTATTAGACGGCTAGATAATCCGCTATAGCTTTATTAGACGGCTAGATCATCTCCTATAGCTCTATTAGACTGCTAGATCGTCCCCTATAGCTCTATTAGGCGGCTAGATCATCCCCTATAGCTCTATTAGACAGCTAGATCATCCCCTATAGCTCTATTAGACAGCTAGATCATTCCCCTATAGCTCTATTAGACAGCTAGATCATTCCCCTATAGCTCTATTAGACAGCTAGATAATCCGCTATTGTTCTATTAGACTGCTAGATCATCCCCTATAGCTCTATTAGACTGCTAGATCATCCCCTAGATCTCTATTAGAAGACTGGATCATCCCCTATATCTCTATTAGACAGCTAGATCATCCCCTATATCTCTATTCGACTGCTAGATCATCCCTATAGCTCTATTAGACGGCTAGATCATCCCCTATAGCTCTATTAGACAGCTAGATCGTCCCCTATAGCTCTATTAGACAGCTAGATCGTCCCCTATAGCTCTATTAGACAGCTAGATCGTCCCCTATAGCTCTATTAGACAGCTAGATCGTCCCCTATAGCTCTATTAGACAGCTAGATCGTCCCCTATAGCTCTATTAGACAGCTAGATCGTCCCCTATAGCTCTATTAGACAGCTAGATCGTCCCCTATAGCTCTATTAGACAGCTAGATCGTCCCCTATAGCTCTATTAGACAGCTAGATCGTCCCCTATAGCTCTATTAGACAGCTAGATCGTCCCCTATAGCTCTATTAGACAGCTAGATCGTCCCCTATAGCTCTATTAGACAGCTAGATCGTCCCCTATAGCTCTATTAGACAGCTAGATCGTCCCCTATAGCTCTATTAGACAGCTAGATCGTCCCCTATAGCTCTATTAGACAGCTAGATCGTCCCCTATAGCTCTATTAGACAGCTAGACCCTATAGCTTTATTAGACGGCTAGATAATCCGCTATAGCTCTATTAGACTGCTAGATCATCCCCTATAGCTCTATTAGACGGCTAGATCATCCCCTATAGCTCAATTAGACGGCTAGATCATCCCCTATAGCTCAATTAGACTGCTAGATCGTCCCCTATAGCTCAATTAGACTGCTAGATCGTCTCCTATAGCTCTATTAGACAGCTAGATCGTCCCCTATAGCTCTATTAGACTGCTAGATCATCCCTATAGCTCTATTAGACTGCTAGATCGTCTCCTATAGCTCTATTAGACAGCTAGATCATCCCCTATATCTCTATTCGACTGCTAGATCATCCCTATAGCTCTATTAGACTGCTAGATCGTCTCCTATAGCTCTATTAGACAGCTAGATCATCCCCTATATCTCTATTCGACTGCTAGATCATCCCTATAGCTCTATTAGACTGCTAGATCGTCTCCTATAGCTCTATTAGACAGCTAGATCATCCCCTATATCTCTATTCGACTGCTAGATCATCCCTATAGCTCTATTAGACTGCTAGATCGTCTCCTATAGCTCTATTAGACAGCTAGATCATCCCCTATATCTCTATTCGACTGCTAGATCATCCCTATAGCTCTATTAGACTGCTAGATCGTCTCCTATAGCTCTATTAGACAGCTAGATCATCCCCTATATCTCTATTCGACTGCTAGATCATCCCTATAGCTCTATTAGACTGCTAGATCGTCTCCTATAGCTCTATTAGACAGCTAGATCATCCCCTATATCTCTATTCGACTGCTAGATCATCCCTATAGCTCTATTAGACTGCTAGATCGTCTCCTATAGCTCTATTAGACAGCTAGATCATCCCCTATATCTCTATTCGACTGCTAGATCATCCCTATAGCTCTATTAGACTGCTAGATCGTCTCCTATAGCTCTATTAGACAGCTAGATCATCCCCTATATCTCTATTCGACTGCTAGATCATCCCTATAGCTCTATTAGACTGCTAGATCGTCTCCTATAGCTCTATTAGACAGCTAGATCATCCCCTATATCTCTATTCGACTGCTAGATCATCCCTATAGCTCTATTAGACTGCTAGATCGTCTCCTATAGCTCTATTAGACAGCTAGATCATCCCCTATATCTCTATTCGACTGCTAGATCATCC